GAAGCGGCTCTGTGTACAGACCCGGGACAGCCTTCCAGGAGATGAGGGACCCATGGCCCTGTCCTTCTCCCGCCGCCCGCCCAACAGCCAAGCAAACCCAAGGAGCAAAGCCGCTCTGCTGACGTGCTGACGTGCCGCTGGCTGAGCAGGTCCGTGCGAGCCTGGCCGAGACAGAGAGGCCCACTGGGCGCAAGCCCGTCCCGCTGCACCCACAGAGTCAGAGACTGACAACGATTGCCGTCTATGGCGCTAACTCGGGGGTTGCGTGTCACACGGCGGAGAGGACTACACACGTGTGCTCGTGACCTGGGGGTCCCCATCGGGATTTCCGAGGCTTGGCTTGCGGGCAAAGGGGCCGTGTTAACCTGGAAAGGAGCGGCGTCAGTGACTGTCAGCCACGGCCAGCACCTGCCATCTTCCTGTCCCGCCTGTCACCCAGGGTTCTGGTGCGACTGGGGCACTCTGCTGCTGGAGTCCGCTTGTCTGTCGCCGTCTGTGTGTCCAGCCAGTTCAGAGACCCTGGAGGATGAAGCCCCAAGTCCCTTCTGACTCTTCATTTTAACTTACGGTGTGTGAACCTAAAAATAACTCAGCGGGAAGCACTGAAACACTATTCTGGGACCTGACTTTTGTCCACTGGGTGGGCTGGGCTACCTGTGAGATCTCTCCGTGGAGAGCTCACCAGGCACGTTTCATGGGCATGGAAGTTCGGGACAGAGATGTTCGCTCCTTTCCTGTCGCCAGCCTGGCTCTGAGGCGTAAGCTTCGCTTGCAGCTGTGGGTGGGGACGGGGCCGCAGACAGGCTGTCCCCAGGCCACGGGCGGGGCGGCCCCCCAGCGTGCACTGCGCCTCACCGGCACCCTTGCCCCCGCCTCCAAATCACACACACACACGCATACACACACACACACACACACACACACATGCTACACACACTCCACACTCACACACCTGCAAACACACACACGTGTGCTACACACACCTGCAAACACACACACACACTCCACACTCACACACTCCACACTGTGGCAAGTCTCCCAAGGGTGTCTGTCCAGGGCCACCCTGTTTCTGCGCTGGTCAGAGCTGAGAGGCAGGAAGCTTGTTATCTACATGGTGCCTCCTTAAGTCAGGCCTGGATTATAAAACTGTCTTCAAAATTTGTGACAGCTTTATGAGTAATGGTTTTTTTTAAAGATAACATCTATTTCTTTGGAAGTACACCATGGCTTAATGAAGATGTAGGTCACACAAGCTTTACCCAAACATGCCAATCTAAGACCTGTAGATGAACAAGTACTTTGTGTGAATGTGGGAAGTATTGCTCAGTATTGCCCTGATTTTTCTCATAATTTGTATGATTATAATCTGCTTATTCTAAAACTGTCTTTTCTGAACTGGAAATATATATATACTTCGCCAAAGGATCTGAATTTGATACAGCTCCTTAATAATATGTCTGGTGCATCAAATCAATTGATATTTATCTGTAAATGTTGACAATTTTCAAATTAAAAAATGTTGTATGAAAAGATATCTAATAACCAGTAATTCCATGGGACGACTGTATGTAACATCCTTACAAGCAAGGTCAACAACGACAATAAAGCCCAGGAAATCTTTGTCGGAGATCACAAAACACTGCTTGAAGCAATGTTACCTTTTACGGGAAAATCTATGGGTAGGAGTCTGAGCTTTGGAAGCAGATGACCCTGAGCTTTAAATCCTGGCCCAATATCTTACTGGCTAGGTGTCTGTAAGCAAAATACTCAATCTCACTATTAGTTTTCTCCTTTGTGGCACAAGGTGGATAACACTACCTTGCAACACTATTGAGGATGAGATGGAATAACATATACAAAATGCCTCCCACAAAACATATACTGAAGAAAGGGGAGCTGTTGTCAATATTATTGTATTTCTGCTTTAGAAAGAAAGCATCCTTTTCATTCTGTTGCATTCATTTGTTTTTTTAAAAAAACACTTTATTTACATTGCTTATATGTGAGTTGGAAGCATCACAAGCAGGAATGAGTTAAAACGATTTTTTCTTTTAATTAAAAAGGAATCAATAATGTCTCAAGGATGTTTCCTTTCTTCCAAAGGGAACACGAGACGATCAATAGCAGGTATTGATATGAGCGCTGCATGGAGTTGAAGTCAAAGCCAGCACTTACACCGTGAGTCCGACAGTGAGGGCTCAGGCCAGAGAACCCTCCCTCGTGGCTGGAGACGGCCCTGGACGTAGCCAGGACCACACACCAGCTGTGTCCTTGCCGCGTGGGTCTGAGCGGGGCTGGCAGGAGGTGCCAGTGAGTCCCAGGGGCATCCTTATCTCCCGCACCAAGTTCCAGTGGTTCATTTTCAGTGTGAGTCCTAGCAGAGAGATGGGAACGGCGATGGAAACAAAATGTCTGTTTCTATTTTTTACTTAACCAACATCATTGTTACTAATTAATGCTAAATTAACTGTCTTTGTTCTTGGCTGTGGGTTAGCCAAATAGATTATCCCCATTTGACCTTGCCTGATAGAATTCCACTGTTTAATAGAGCTGTCACAGACATGGACTGATAACAGAAAAATGAACTATAGATAAACTAGATAAACACAAAAATCAAAGTGAATATTAATAAATATTAGATAAACACAGGGTAGCCAAAAGCCAGTCAATAAGGAGCAGTGGTGTGGGACAAACAAGAGAAAACTGAGCCCAAAGACAAAGGCTGAAGAGCCCTCACCCAGGCCCCCGCCCTCACGGTCTCTGAGACTCTGGCTGAGGCCCCTCCGGCACCCCCAGGACGGGCCTGCTCCACACTCTGCTGCGGGGTCCTGCAGACTCTGTGGAGTCCGCTGGTGGCCCCTGTGTTTTCCATGAACTGTTCTGCCTTCAAAACCTTTTCCTATCACCTAACCCCAGATTCATTTGCAGTTGAAGGTGGCTTTCCTCTTCCTGGGATACTCTAACTTTTGGGTAATTCCTTGATTTTAAGGCTTTGGTTGCTGTTTAATTAGAGATCCTGGGAATGGGGACATTTTTCACCAGACATTTCCATAAAGCTGTAGAGTGGGGGTTTGGGGAGCAGGACACTGTATCTGGGAGTTGCCTGCTGCCTGTGGTGGAGACGCCAGTGGCCTCCCAGGCCCTGTGCTTCCCTTCCTTTGTAGCCAAATCCCGATGTTCAGCTGGGCACCTGTTCGCCCACAGTAAGAACTACATTTTCCAGCCAGCCTTGCAATGAGGCACCGTAATCTAGCAAGAGCTATGGCGTGCTCAGAGGGTGGGGTGGCCCTTCATCACTTCCTCCTTCCCGATACCCAGAAGGTGGAGGTAGGAGCCAGGCCCCCGAGGGCACCTGGTGGCCTTGGCAATGGAACTGGTAGGTGGTGGCCCGACCTCACGCAAAGCTGCCATGCTCTTGCTTTCACCGCAGGGGGACAGTCAGCTCCAGTCCTTCTTGTTGGTTTAGTTGATCCCTGGCTACTTTTTTTTTACCCCCTCAACCCATTTAAATACCCCCGAAGACACAAGAAACAGGACAGGACTCTGTTCTCCCAAACCTCTTGCAACTCTAATAGTATTTTCACAACTGAATTTTTGTGGGTTCTCCCACAAGTAAGAGAGATCCTGGAAAACCAAGGAGGTATGTATCATTTTCGTAAAATGTCAAGAAGAGACAGAGTTCTCAAAGACCAGTAAACCTGTAAGAGCACAACATTTGTAATATTTAAATGTGTCCTGTGACAGCAGCCTCCTGGAATTCTGGGAATTTCAGAAGGTGATGATAGTGTCAGAATTACAGGAAGTTCTGAGGAAAGACAACTCATAAGTTCCTGTGTGATTTTTTAGATTTTAAATGCCAAATAATCACACTTAAGTGTTAGTATTGATTTTTGGTATTTCTTCTGGGAAAAAATTATAAAGAGGTGTACCTTTACAAGTATCTTTAAAAATCCCAGAAATCTTATTTCTAACAAGCTGCAACCATGAACTGCTACGGCAGGGTCCCTGTTACCTTTTACTTTTATTTGTTATCAGCTAATTGAAATGCAATTGCTCTAACCATCAGGTCACCTCAACTGTCAGAGGAGCATTTAAATATGTGTTTTCTGAGTAGTTATAAAACCTGTTTACCTAAGTGATATCCCATGAGATTCTCACTGATAGCAAGATTAGAGGACAGGTCTTAGATTTCTTAAACAAAAACAAAACAAAACGAAACCCTAAAATGAATAGGACATAGTAGGTTCCCAATACATTGTTGTTTCAGTACTGAGTCAATCCGTGAAATTGTTAAAAGTTGTGTTTTTTACAAAACTCTTACATATAAATTATTTAAGACAGTGTTTCTTGAATTATGGCGAAAGACCACTTGCACCAGAATTGCTGGCGTGTTTGTTGAAAACGCCACCGACTCAAAATCCCCATAGACGCCCCGAGAATTTGAACCTAATCTCTGCCCCCACCCCCCAGATTCAAGCTCATTTCGGTTCCGAACCGCCATTCTGCTGCCCTGTCTAAAGCAACGAAGTTTCAGGCTGGTTCGGGGTATTACTCCCGTGTCTCTCTGCCCATGTCAAGTTCATTCCTCTCCCACTCTGCCTCCAGTAGCAGTCACTCGGACCCTTGCCAAAGGCAGCATCCTTACTGGACTCATTGCCGTTCCCTCTCAAGGGGAGAGGGCTGTCTGGCTCTGGGAACGTGGAGAGCCACACACGTTAGCCCACTCGGGGGAAACGTAAGGGAACAGAAGTGCAGTTCAGAGATTGGAGATCCATTCTGAACTCGTGTGGGAGGAGGAGGCTGAGTGGAAGGACAGGGGACTCAGTACGGTCTCCAGTGTCATTCTGTGCGGGCGCTCTGGCTCCGGTGACGGGCGTGTTTGCTCCTTTTGTACGACCTGCTTTGGGCGAGTAACCCGGCGCGCACTCGGCTCTGGCCCGCGGCCGCGGCCGCGCCCCGGGGACGCGGACGGCGCCGGGCTGGGAGGGGCCGCCCCGCGCGGTGGCGCCCCCGGCGCGGCTCCCGGGAGCCCTTTCTCCGCGCCGCCGCCAGGACCTCCCGCTCCTCCGGAGGGAAGAAGCGGTCGGTCCAGGTCAGCGGTGCGTCCACGTCCCTCCGTCTCTCTCCGCCACCTCGCCCCCACCAGCTCCATTGTGTCGTGCGTTTGTCCGCGCCCCCTGCGCAGACCCGCACCGCGTGCGGACCCACCGGGAGCCGCTCCTTGCCATGGAGCTGTACGCAAAGGTGAGCGACGGGCGCCCCCTGCGAGGTACGCGGGGCGGCTCGCCTTACAGTGTGAGTGCTTGTGAGCGCCAGTGTGAGCCAGTGTGAGTGCTTGTGAGCGTTGTGTTTGTGCCATCGTGTGTCAGTGTGACTGTGCGCACGTGTGTGTGCGCACGTGCATGCTTGCGTGTGGCCGTGTCAGTGTATGGGTGTGAGTGGTTGTGTGGTCAGTGTCAATGTGAGTGTGCGCGCGCGCGCGCGAATGTGTCAGTGGACCGGGTGTGTGTGTGCGTGCGCGCGCGCGTCCTAGTCTGGGTGAGTGTGTCTCAGTGTCAATGTGTGTGTGTGCGCGCGCGCGCGCCTTCTTGTCGCTACGGTGCGGGTAACCCATTTTGCCCGTGTGCGCGCTGTCCGTCGCTTTCTCCTCATCTTTCGGGGTGACGTGTGACACCAGGCCGCCTGCCTGTGGAATAGCTGTCCGGGTCCGGGACGGCAGGTGCAGGGCCGAGTCGGGACGCCGCGCAGATGCCGTTCGTACTGGTCCTCAGCACCGGGCAGCGCGCTTCCTAACCGGAAAACCCAGGATAGCTTCGGAAGACGACAGGTGGAACCAGAAATCGGCAGCTGAGGCTGAGCCGTAGTCAAGTCCGCCTGCACTCGGGGAGGGCTGGGGGCTGGACTGAGAGCCGTCCCCGGGGAAGGAGGCGCGGCGGCCGAGCGCGGCGGGAGGGACGGAGGCCTGCGCTCCCGGTCGCCGGGAATTGTAGTTCGCGGCTCGTGGGCTGTGCCTGGGGTCTGGACTGCAACTCCCAGGAGCGCGCGCGCCCAGCCAGCCTGCGCCTGCGCCCCGGGAGGGGACAGCGCCGGTGCTGAATCGGGCGGGTCAGCGAACCCGAGGGTGCGGAGCGGGGAGCGCGCGCCGGGCCAGCGCTGTCGTCCCCGAGAGCGAGGACCGCCCGAGAACAATGAGACACGAAGCTCCCTTGCAGGTGGGTCCGTGCAGAGCGTGTGGCCTCGGGAGGGACTGGCAGAGATACTGGCACCATCAGTCCAGGCGGCCACCGCGGGAAGCGCTTTAGACTCGGTCCGGGGACAGACGTGTCCGGAGCGGGGGAGGGAGGGTGGTCCTTGTCGCCGTCCTGGAATCCGCAGGGACGGCGAGGGCGCCTGTGTGCCTGTGGGCGACAGTCCGGGGCGTGGGATCGTGTGTCACCCGTTGTCCCGGGTTTGAGACATCGGTGCCGGCGCACGGGCTCCGGACCGGCGGGCATCCAGTGGTCCTGGGGTCGGGCCGACCGAGCGCCGGCCAGGAGCGGGGAGGGGAGGCGGTTTTTGTTAGGGTGCCTCCAGTCCTTGGCCTCGTCAGGGCAGGGGCAGCGTGGGCGCCCAGGGGCTAAAAGGAGGGCTCGGCGCCACCCAGAGGCCCTTCACCTCTGACCCCGCCGGTTCACCCCTGCCCTTCACCTCTGACCCCAGCAGGTTCACCTCTGGGCCCCGAGACCCTGGACCCCCTGAGCGATGGGCCCACTGCTGGGCGCTCAGCCCCTTCAGCCCCACGCAGGTTTGCCGCCATGGACTCCGGTGCTGGGCACCGAGATTAACTTCTGTTTTTAAGTAACCACGAGCGAACCCCGCTCATCAGCCCGGGTGTCCCGGACGTGTGCACAGAACCCAGCAGGTGCGCAGGGCCAGGGGGCAGCGGGGCCGGGGGTCCCTCGTGAGAGCCCACCTCAGCTGTCACGTCCAGCAGTGCAAATATTTGACCTTAATTCTTTCTGAAACGCTTTCTTTATTAATTGAGGACTTTCAACATATGCATCTATTTACTTTTCATCTGTTTTATGGGTTGTGTGCGTTAAGCTACACACCGGCCTGTTAATGAAAAAACCACCCATCTGCAGAGTCTGTTTGTTGAAGGGTTATGCAGTGGAAGCGCTCAGATTACCATATGAGTTATTGAAGACTTGCTTTGTTCCGGAGAACAGGGCCCCATTGTGTGTTTTCCGATACCTCTGTCTGTGGCTTGGCTTTGCACCGTGGACCTGATGTGAGCAGAGCCTGGCAGACAATGAAGGTGCAGGCCGTGGCCGTGGAAATACATTGGCTGATGATGATTTTCCGTTTGCTGGAGACACTGCCAGCAGCCACCTGGCTACATGGATCGTGTTTGATTAGAAGTAAACATTGACGATGGAGTTTAAAAGTAGATCGTTAGTACGGAAGTCAACCCCGTATAGGCACTGAAGTGTTTCTGTCCAAATAAATTACTAAAAAATGAACCACAGTGCATCATGATTTTTATTTTCATAAAAGAGTAGCTTGGAATCTTCAGAACGTCATTAAAATGTTACAGCTCTATATGAAATTAATGACTTAGGAAATACTTTAAATTATTTCATATCAACTATACAGTAGGCAATTTAATGAAGAATTAATATAAAAATAGGTTAACAAAATTAATTTGCTCATGGATGGAGTTATTTTCCTGTTTATGGTGTACTTGACTCACTGGACTAGATTTTTGATATTTAAAATTTTAAATGCCCAAATATGCCCTGGCTGGTGTGGCTCAGTGGTTTGAGTGCCGGCTTGGGAATTACAGGGTCACTGGTTCAATTCCCAGTCAGGGCACATGCCTGGGTTGCACGCTGGGTTCCCAATTGGGGTCACGTGAGAGGCAACCACACATTAATGTTTCTCTCCCTCACTCCTTCCCTTCCCCTCCCTCTAAAATAAATAAATAACATCTTTAAAAAATTTTAAATGACCAAATGCTATTGTGAATAACATACATTTTAGGAAATCAAAGAGCATTTTCTGTATTATATTTAATTAAAACACACTTGATTCAATTTAACAAGTAAATTGTTGTTTTGGTGATCCTCTCTTCATTATAATCAGATTTTCAAACATATAATGATAGGAAGAATAAAAACTATAAACATGCTTTTTGTATCTTAAGTGGCAAGAAGTAGCATCCATACTTCTGAATCATAATCACATTCTAGGAGACTTTGATATATGAAAGTGCAGCAAAATTAATAGTTGACATTTCTTTTTTCTTCCATTTAAAGATTGAATGAACTACATTATTATTTTAAATATATATTCTTACATTTTACTTAGGTTTTTAGACAATGGGTGACAAGCAAAACTTCATCCTATAGTTGCATTATCCTAAGAGATTCTTTTCCCAAATTTAAAAGTATTTCATAGTTAAGGTGGGGTGAAAATGGAGACAATTGTACTTGAACAATAATAAAAAATTAAAATAAAAATATTTGGTCAATTTGTTGGTGTGAAACAAAATGAGTTCTTTAATTGTTGATTTCATAATTTACTTGCATAAGTCAAAGAAGTCTTTTAAAAATTATATAATGTCTCTTAAAAAGCATTTGATGTGCCTGTATCTTGGTGTTCTGTTCAAGGTAGTTTTGATATAGGGATATTTTTTAAATCCTCACCCAAGGACATGGTTGTTGATTTTAGAAAGAGAGGAAGTGAGGGAGAGAGAAAGAGGGAGAGAAACACTGACCGGTTGCCTCTCACATGCCCCAGCTGGGGACTGAACCTGCAACCTAGGCCTAGGCGTGTGCCCTAACCAGCAATCAAACCCTTGGCCTTTCAGTTTAAGGGATGACACTCCAATCAACTGAGCCACACCAGCCAGGGCAATATAGGGATATTTTTTAAGAACATTGTTCTCTGAGTTGATGCAAAGTAAGGGGTTATAACTGTTTTTTATAGTGACTATTAAAGTAATATACCATGATAACATTTGATTTCTGTATTTCCTTTGTAACTAAACAACCAGGAACAGCATTTGGTAAGTGCTCCAAATGATGGGTTAGATGGTTATAATTTTAAGGCAGGAAATGATCACTTTGTGCCTCGTTCAGGGGTCAGTCCCCAGGGCCAGATGGAACAGGCAGGAACGGTGCTTCTGACACGGGGGCAGGACCCGTGACCAGACTGTCATTTGATTCAGGAGCCAGACCGAGCGCGCTCCAGCTCGCTTAGTGCTTTGTGCCAAGCACTGTGCCTTGGATTCAGACCTCTGTGTCTCTCTGCATGTCTGCGTGTGTGTGTGTGTGTGTGTGTGTGTGTAAAATAGAAAACAGCCCTGGAGGTCACCGTTACTGATTACAACCAAGTGCCCGGAGCTTGCTGAGAGTAAGCAACTTTCCCAGCATGGTGGATTCCAGGTTCTGCCAGAGCTCCGTCTACAAAGCCCAGGTTCTTTCCCGGGCTGCTCTGGGCTTCCCACGCAGACACGGGAGAGCGCTGGCAGGAGTGAGGGCACTGTGGATACCACCTGATCCTCTCATTTGGTTCAGGAGGAAGAAACATGGTCTCCACCTTCTGTTCATAAAACACACCTGAATAAACCAAACCAAACATTGCAGAAGGGCCCGTGCTTTAAAAATGGCTTGATTTTTGTTTCCTGGGTTTGAATTTCTTGCAGGCTGGCTTGCTGTCTTGCAGGACCAGTGTGGAATCCATCGTCTCTGATCGAATGCTTAGTCTTCGGTTTTGCTATCCACAAGCTGCTCGGGTCATCTCAGAAACGCAGAGCATTCTGGCTATTTGGGAAACTGTAAAGAAAAATATCTACCCCATGTATGAGACAGAGTGCAAAACAACAAAAAACGAAAAGAGATTGTTTGGCTGAACATGAGGAGGACTGCAGAGAGAATACAGATGTAGGCCGAGGATGAGGTGGAGGTGACAAACCGTAACTGGCGTTCAGTGCAGCCATGCTGTCTAGAGAGGCCGCTGAGCGAGGAGCAAGGTCTGAGCACACACTGTCTCGGTCGACTGTGAGAAGTGCATGTCTCTCTTGCCTTTCGTGATGGCTGGATTTCTGACGGTGTCCAGCCTCAGTGATGACCCCTTCCTCTTTATGAGAAGTGGAAATTTAGTTCCCGTCCCTCAGGGATGTGGAGAAGCAGGTGCCTCCTTCCTCCTCCCACAAGGAGGGCGACTAGAAGTGCCGGGCAGACACCCTCACCTTGGCCCCTCAGAGGGGGGCTAAGGGCTACCCCCTTTCACCACAAAGCCCTGCAGTCTTGCCGTTGCTGCTGCAGGCTGAGACACCCTGTCACACTGAGCACATTTCCTTTGATGTTTAGTTTCCTGCGAGTTTTGTTTTTAACATAAACGGGTGCCGAATTTTGTCAGGCACTTGTTCTGCATCTGTTGGGTGATCACGTGGTTTATCTCTGTTCTGTTGGGTGTTGTTCATTGATTTTTGAGTGAACCTGGCATTCTCTAGATAAATCCCTCTTGGTCCTTCCCATGTATTGTGGATGCAGTTTGGTTACATTTCCTTGAGGACTTTTGCATTTAAGTCCATGATGGATATCGGTGTATGATTTTCTTTTAATGTCTTTATGAGGCTATAATATGATAGTCATGCAGGCCTTATAAAAGATGAAAAGTGTTCTTTCCCCTCTGTTTTCTGAGTGATTTTGGTGTGATTAATATATGTTGGTATTTAAAGTGTTTTAGACTTCATCAGTGAAGCCAGTGGAGGTTGGAGTTTTCTCTGTGGAAAATTTTTTTTTTAAGTTTTTCTTTTTTTTTTAGATTTTATTTATTTATTTTCAGAGAGGGAAGGGAGGGAGAAAGAGAAAGAGAGAAACATCAATGTGCGTTTGCTGGGGGTCATGGCTTGCAACCCAGGCTTGTACCCTGACTGGGAATCGAACCTGCGACACTTTGGTTCGCGGCCCTCGCTCAATCCACTGAGCTATGCCAGCCAGGGTGGAAAATTTTTTTGATAAATTCAACTTTATACATACACACTCATATACATACACACACATATACCTCTGTCATCCAACTATCTGTCTTGTCTGTCTACTGACCTACCTACCAGCGTGTCTACTACCAACCTACTCCATCTACCATTTATCATCTATCTATCATCTATCAATCAATCAATCTATCTATCTATCTATCTATCGTCTGTCTTTGAGGGGTTGCTGTCCTGCCTCCCACTGTGTACTGAAGATGGCAGGTGGGAGAGAGATGGAGGGACGTATGATGGGGGAAGGGCGGGTGGACAGCTGCGGGGGTTTGGCCGGGAAGTGTCCTGTCCCCAGGGGGAGAGCTGGCGTCACTCCTGGAGGCTCCGGTGCAGGAAAAGGGAGTCTTGGGTTGAGTGGGGAGTTCAACTCTACGATTTTTTTTTGGAAATTAATTCAAAAGTTATGCAATTTTCAGTGTTGTCTTTTCTATAACTTTTAGGAGCACCGATTTGCTCTGGGGGAGGTTACTGCCTGCCCACCATGTGTTCAAATTCTAGCTGTATTTCCCCATGAATTTGGAGGTGTCAGCAAATTTACACAGCGAGTGTCTGTAATTCCCTCTGACATTACTGTCAACTCGCTTCATTTCTGCTCTCAGCGAGGCATTAGGGAGTCTCTCTCTCTATCCTCTGAGCCAGGATTTATTTCCTTATTCTGAAGTTTAATAAAATGTATACATTCCCAGTGCACATCTCTTTGGCCCTCTGTGAATCTCACTGAGGATATAGATCAGGCAATAGTAAAAATTCTTCCAGGATAGTGGGCCAGCAACCCTCTCCAATCAACCCCTCAGGGCCTTGGGGCTCCCACTCCACACCCACCTCCCTTGCCCTGGCACCCTCGGTGCCTCATAGCCTCTGCTGCCCGTGGCCGACCTGCCCCTATGAGGTGGATGGAGTCGGTGCCCACACTGCAGAGAGCCCCACCTGGCCTTCCCCTCCGGGACCCCCAGAGGACACTCAGAGAGTCCCCACAAGGAGGGAGTCTGTTTCTGCAGGAGCTGGAGTCAGTCTGGTTCCGGAACAGGACTTGGGATTGGTGGCCGCAGAGACCTCATCCCACGTTGTCCTGAGGCCACCGGGAGGGCCAGGGCTCAGGGGCCTCACCCTGTAGGGGGACGGGCACCACTCACAGTTGGCTGTCTGGGGCGCAGCTCTGGGAATGGGGGTGTCCGTGTCCGAACTGGGTGGTGGCTGAACACTGTTCGCTGGGGCCTGAGCTGGCTCCTCCAGAAGAGGCAGGAGCTTCACGGAGGCGGCGGCCCTCTGCAGGCCCAGCTGAGCTCAGCAGCCCCCGGGGCCGGTGGAGAGCACCAGTCGTTGAAAGGACTGTGTCTGCAGGGACCTGCCAAATGTAACAGTTACCTGGCCTTGTGGGGCGGGGGGTGGGGGGGTGGGGTGGGCCCAGAGCCATCAGAACAGGACGTCATTGTTCAAATGATCGTCGAGATGGCAGGCCTGGTTTTGTCCCTGGCTGGTGCTGGGCTGCCGGGGGGTTATCTCGGCGCGTGGACTCGGAGCAGAAAGGAAGGTGGCGCCTGCGTCGGGGGCCCAGGGTTCCCACCGGCAAACACTCGCTACAGGTTGTGATGCGTGAGGGCATCTGTGTGGCCGCGTGGACTTCACAGGAGAAATGCTTCAGCTCTAACTCGCTAAGGAAGTGTGATATGCGACCAGAATTTTTATTGTCCTTAGATTTCATCGTATCTGCAGATTTTCTTTTTGTTCTTGTTCTTACACATACCACTGTGTCTCCTCCTACCGGCACCACAGAGGGACTGTGCCATCCCACCCCCCCCTTTTCCCGTGTCCCACGGCTGTCTGTGAACGCACACCCCAACCTCGGCGGGGCGCACTGTCGTCCAGGACGCTGAGCACTCCTGGCCGCTTCCAGGGCTCGGTGTCTGCTGGGGAAGCTGCCGCAGGTGGTCAGACGTTGCAGGAACGACCGCGACCGTCGGGCCCCGCCCTGCTCCTCGGAGCTGTGCGCAGGCGCGGCAGTGCTCCGCGCTGCGGTCGGGCTCAGCGCAGGGACTCGGCTCCTGTGGCTGGTGTGACACAGGAACGCCGTTCGGTCAGGCGCACCTGGGCGCACGGGACCACTGGCCCCTCCCTGGGCAGCAGACAAGTGCCAGGGAGCGCCCGCGCCGGGAAAGGGGGCAGTGAGGGGGCCGAGACTCCGCCCCCCAGACGCCCCCCCCCCCCCCGGCAGCGGCTCTGGGCCACAGACCTCGAACCTCGCGCCGAGTCCCGTTTGGTGGCTGTTGGCACGCGCGTCAGAAAAATGAGAAGGGAATCAACCCCACGCCCAGCATGTCCAATGAAGAGTGACCTTATTCTCCCCGCTGTGCTGGCGGCCTTACACCTCTGCCTTACACAAGCGTTGTTCTCACTAGTGGTCCGCGTTCGACCACACTTGTTTCCCTTTCGCCTCGGAGGGGGACGTGCAGCGCACCAGTGCAAAGGAACAGACTCAAGGTCGCGGGCCGGCCGGCGGTGGGGGAGCCCCCGCTGGCTCCGGGGCTCCCGCGTCCGTGCGTCTCCCCGCGAGCGCCCCTCCGTCTTCCAGAGCAGACGCGCACCTCGCGCTCATGGGAGACGGGGTGCGGGCTCGGAACGTGGGTCCGGCCCCGCGAGCCCTGCCTCCGGTCCATGTCACTGGTGTGACACTGGGCACAGTACTCGATATTTCTAAGCTTCGTTTTTTCCTTTTAATGTGACAGGAATGAAGGCGCCCACCTCACAGGGTTGTCGTGAGGTTTAAATACGTCAGTGGTTCCTGGCACATCGTTTGCGTCATAGGCATTTGCCATCGGCACTATTTTTAGTGTGAGAGAAGCTGCCACTTACGTTCAGGTGCTGGATTAACGCGGTCGGAGCGGGTGAACTGGAGACAGGCTCTGGGAGTGCCTGCCTGGGAAACACGGGGACCCCGAGGACCCAGACACTCGAGGGAGGAACACCCCGCTGTTCCCACGTGGGTGTGTCCACGCCGAGACTGCAATGTTCCCGAGCCCACGAGCCGTAGCCGGCCTTCAGGTGGTCGCTTTTCACGTTGCCCCACAGAGGCCCCCTCCCGCGCTTTGACTGGTCCCGGGCGCTGAGCACCGCAGCCCCCGGCCCAGCGGCGAAGGGCTGGGAGGGGTGGGCCCTGTCTCCCGGGGTGGGGGGGGTTGCCATGGTTACACGTCAGGGAGGAGGGGAGCACTCGGCCCAGTCTGGTCTGGAGCTGCCGGAAAGGCCCGCAGGCGGCGGGCGCTGGACCCCCAGCGCACGGAGACTGACGGCGCCCCCTTGGTCTCCCCCGCAGATGGCCTCGGCCCAGGACGCCCGGGCGGGCCAGAAGGACTCCTCCGACCAGAACTTCGACTACATGTTCAAGCTGCTCATCATCGGCAACAGCAGCGTGGGCAAGACCTCCTTCCTGTTCCGCTACGCCGACGACTCCTTCACGTCGGCCTTCGTCAGCACCGTGGGGATCGACTTCAAGGTGAAGACTGTGTTCAGGAATGAAAAGAGGATCAAGCTCCAGATTTGGGTGAGTGGCCTGAGCCGCCGGCGAGCTGCGGTGCCGTGTCCCCCACACGCGTGCGTGGGGGAGGGCGCCCTGCCTGCCGGCCTGCCTGCCTGCCTGTGTCCAGGGCTCCACCCCCGCCGTCAGGCTCTCTGCCGCGGAAGGTGTGTTTCCAGCACAGCGGAGCGGAGCCTCCTTAAGGCTTGGAGACTGACCTGTGCCTTGTCGTCAGGTGTCGCTTCCTGAGCGTGTTCAGAAAAGAGAAAATGTAGACGCTGTTGTGTTGGTGGCAGGGACAGCCGGCGAGAAGGCTGTGCCGGCGTGGCCGGCGTGGCCCCGGGCAGGTCTGCCACTCTTCTCGCCCATGCGGAGCGGGCCTCCCCGGGCGTGCTGCAGGGCGCAGCCTGTCCCGGGCTCTTGAAAGAACACGTCGAACAACCAGATGTGGGAGGGAAAGCTCAGGTCCGGGCCCTTCGAGAGACCCAGATAGACGTAACTTTGAACACGATCTGTCATAGTGCGTGGGCTGCGCTCCCAGCTGTAACAGTTGTGTTTATCCATGCAGAGAAAACAAGCGAAACAAAATATTTGTTTTAAAGCAGGGATCCCCCCGAGGCACAAGGCTCTCCAGTCAGTTCCGAGACCGTGACTGGCTTCCTGCCGCTCCGCCCCCTGCAGGAGAGCGGGGACTCCGTGCCTGAGCCGCGGCGTAGACTCGGAACAGCGAGTGAGAAACAGAAGAAAGTGCACGTGGGTAACAGGCTCACGGTGCCGTGAGGGACGGAGTGAACAAAACACTCGTTACCCACGAGATAGGCATGTACTAGGCACTTAGGTCCATGAAATAAAGTGGAGGGACACGGGCGGAAGGTGTTCTGGGCGGTGGAGGCCCCTTTTCCTGGTCGTTTTACCCCGCCCCGGCCGAAGTGGGTTCGGGCTGTCAGCAGGCGTTCCCAGGAGGGGAATTCACACCTTCTCCTGGGTCGGTTCGGACCCCGCTCCGGCTGCGGGCGTGGGCGGGGGCAGTCCAGGGCCGACAGAGGATAAGCCCCCTCCGCAGACACCCAGCGTCCAGAGACAGGCAAGCCCGGGGGCACAGCGTGTGAGCGTGTTTGAAGTACAAGAGCCTTCATTAAAATATTTATATAAACTAGATGGCCTGCACACACCTTAAAGCTCTTAGCAGTAGGATGTGACGATGCAGATAAACACACAGACAGGCGTCCTCCCAGGCAGATTACAATAGTGTGTTTCTGTTTCTCTCACTCTGACCCCGGAGTCTCCCAAGTCAGGTTAGAACTCAGGCAAGACCTCGGAAGACCGGTCCCCAACCCTAAACTCTCCCCTCAAGAAGTCTTCTTGAGCAAGGAGCTGTTTCTGTGAAGCCGGCAGTCCCACCAGCTGTGTCCTGGGAGGCGGAGGAAGAGGCCAGTGAAATTGTGTGACTGTCCAGGGAGCGGAGGCGTGCGGGGAGGACGCGGCCGGAGCAGCAGGGCGGCTCGCCTTCCCGTGGGCTCCTGCAGGGGGTGTGGGGGGGGGTCTCAGGTCTCTGCCTCGAGCTGAGGTGTGCGCGTCCTGGGCAGTGTGTGCTGTGTGCCGCTCCTGCTGTTTAACGACGTCAAGAACTCATTTGTTTGGGAACGAATTGGTCATTGAGGTTTGTCTCATTGCATTTTAGTTACGAAATAGCCGTTTTTCCCAGTTTGTAGTATTTTTGTGAACTTGGGTGAAGGTGTAAATGAGTCATTAAGAAGCCCACAGTCCTCTCAGCCTATCCTGCCATGTCTTCCCACTCACACCGCTTCTGACAGCCAGTGTGTGGGTTCGGCCGACTCAGCAAGTCTTTGACTCTCTGTCGATGCCACTTGGCTGTCCCACATTTTAATTCAGTTCTGGCCCTCACCACTCGGATGAGCAGATACTTGCCAGGTAAGGACCGCAGTTCCGCAGGCCGTGCCCCCACCTTTCAGAGACCAGTCGCGAGTCTGGAGGCTGCACAGCCCCACCTGTCCAGGTTGGTAATTGGTGAGAGCAGCTCACGAGACTCAGGAAAGCTCTGGACTTGCTGTTATGGGTGTATTTAAAACGTGTGGCTTGGGGACAGCCATCTAAAGAGCAGCAGAGGACAGAGCATGGGGGACTGTGGAGGACCTGTCCCTTCCAACACTGTGGTGTGACCCCTCACCTAGCTGCCAGGGCCTTCTGCCATCGGGAGAAACTGATTTTCAGCACCTGCCACTCCAGGAGGTCAGGGGGTGTGGCTGGAAGTCCCCCCGCTTTGATCGTGGTTCTTCCTTCTGGCAAATGGTCTCCATGGCGACGTTTTCCAGGGGCCCACTGAGAGGCCCCTCACTGGGAAACTCGGGTAGAACGGAAGGGGCTATTGTGCAAAATCCCAAAGCTGGAATTCCGAGGGTTTCAGGAGCTCTTCCGCAGGAACCGGGAGGGAGATCAAATGCGCGTTTCTTACTTCACGCCAGCACTACAGCCTGTCGTGCATTCCAGGGGGGAGCAGCAGAGTGGTCTCACAGGTTAGTGCAGGGCAGCTGGACCTTTCCCAAGACGCCAGCCAGGTCCGCGGCACCCTCCGGGTTGTGACCCGCGGCAGCAGACAGAGCTCCTTTCTGCAGAGGAAGCCAGACAGAGTGGGGTAGGTGCCAAGGCCAAGCAGGGTCTCAACCCATGTCTGCTGCTGGCCGGGCAGACTGGCTGCCCAGCCGCCACCTGTGCTGGCCGGGGACGCGCTCCGCAGCTGGCTGTCAGCGGCACCCGGCACAGGGCATCAGGCTCGGCCCAGGAGGGTTTTGGGTGTGGATGGAGCTGGGTGGGAGCGCCCCCGTTGTCTACTCGGTGCTTCGCTTTCCTGCATGTGCTGCGCGGGGGTGTTCTGAGCCCCAGGACTGGACAACCGGACTCTCCGGGGTCCGTGTGAGAGTCCAGTGTCTAAGTGGTGACGGAAACGTGACATTGCTGCTGGGACACATCACGCCTCCGTTCTGTTGAGGCTCATCGCTGCCTGGGAATAAATGTGCTTAGAAAAAATCATCGTTCATCGCGTTAGTTACAGAATTTGTGTCCCGTTGGTGTTGTCACGACAGCCTCCTCTACTGTATCAACGTTGCTGCTGCTCTCGCATCTGATGATCGCTTTTATGGTCCTCAAATCAAACTTTCTCAAAATTTTAGAGATCCCAAGTATTTAGGCTGGTTTCTTTATTATTTTGCGTCATTTAATGGTGTGACGAATAGACTGGAGAGAGATTGAGTGTGGTGTTTCACTTTAATTATAGAAAGAGATTTCACTGCTGGGGCCTATAATATTTTAGTTTAATTTAAAAAGTAGTTTAGCCTGGAGAATGGCGATGTAGGGTGGCTCTCTTCCCAGCGAAAGTGCTGCAGACGGTGCAGCCTCTGTTTGGAAAAGACCTGCCGTGTGCACCCTCCGCATGCAGACCGCTGCCGTGGCAACAGTGGGGCTCAGAGGAACCCGCGAGCTCGGAGTGTGGTCGCTGCTGAAACGGCCGGCTCGGAGGCCAAACTCGACAGCCTCCTTCGCTCAGGAAAGCACTGGGCCCCCTTTTTCCGTGGGCTCTGCAGAGTTCACGTCCAGAACTCAGGGCTGATCTCACGGATGGAAGACCCGCTTAGCGAATACAGGTGGGGAGCAGGTGGAGCATTACAGGTAGCAGGTGGCTGTTCCCTTGGGTGCCATCACCAGCTTTGTCTCCTTTCTTCGGCTCCTTCTCTCCCCAGCACCTTCGAGACTCCCGTCCTCCCCTCCCTGTCCCATCCTGATCTCTGGGCTCTGGCCAAGCTGCTGGGAGCCCTCCCCCCACGAGTCGGGACCAGGGCTGCTGCGCCCCCGCAGAGGGCCACCTGCTGAGCTGTGCTCAGGTCCCTGTCGCAACGCTGCCTCCTGCCGGTCGAGCATCGCTCCTGGTGCACGCACCGCCGAGGGTGCCCCGGCTCCCACAGGGAGCCGTCTGCCGGAGCAGTGCCTCCGTCTGGCGCAGGCGCAGATGGGGGAGCCGAGAGGGCGCGCGCCTCCCTCGCTGTGGCCTGGGGAAGAGCCTGCTCTAAAGTACAGGTTTCAGCATCTTATCTTTTATGAACGGAAAAGGGAGAGAGTGCACACGGCTGTGCTGGTTTGTTTCTTAAAATGAATTTAATAACAGCTTAATTGCAGGCACTTTGCATTTCCATTTCTGCAAAACAGGAGTCAGAAAAGCGGTCGAGAGCGGAGGGACGCGCAGGCTGCGCCCGGAGCCTCCGCCCCCGCCCCCGCGGGGACGGGGTGTGCAGGCGGGTGGGCGGCAGGCGGGGGCTGGTTCGGCGGGCGCTGGGGCAGCGCTGTCCCTGGTTGTCCTGCCGCCTGGGCGCTCAGGGCAGGTGGCCGTGGCTGGAGGGCAGGAGCCCAGCGGGGAGGACCTGGTCAGGGGTGTGAGCTCCGGGCTGGTTGGTTTGCACGTGAGGAGCGAGCCCCTGGGTTGTCGCCATCTCCAGGAGGAGTTGGCTCACTGGAGGGGGTGGTGGCAGCCCCTCCGGGGTCCGTGGGCCCCAGGGGTCAAAGGTCGGGACAGAGAGAAGGAAAGGCAGGTTCTTGGAGCCCCACAGGTGGCTTCCCTCCCTGTCCCCGACCGTGGTCTCAGCCCCTGCACCAGAGGCCCCCACACGCACTCCTGGTCTCCCCGTTTGGGGCCCCAGGACTCAGGGTCCAGTCGCAGTCCCACAGCGTCCCGGCCCCCGCCTCACCTCACTTGGGGACAGGACTGCGGACGGCGTCGACCTGCGAAGTGGGCACTTCATGTCTGTGTGCAGTTGAGGATGTATTTTTTGCAACAAGCCCACGAGGGAAGGTGGTATTATTAGCCCCATTAAGTGAGGAAACCGAGAGTCAGCAAGACACGGGGGCTGGCCCAAGGTCACAGCCGCGCTGCGGCCTAGCGGGGTTGCAGCCAGGGCCGCGGCCGAGGCCTGCACGTGACCACACGCTGCCGGCGAGGCCCCCGGGGCGAGCCCTGCATC